CCCCCCCCCCCCGCGCGAGCCTAGCAACAAGAAAGCCCACTCGCGGTCCGGAGCCAACCGCAAAAGAGAATTGGAGGGGTGTGGGCGGGGTTTGCCCTTCGGCCAGTCCTGAGTCTGTCTGAGATAAGGCCCACAGATCACGTGTGCGGTTGCTAGGCTCTGGAAGAGACTTCCCAGAACCCGGAGGCCAGTTGGTGTTCGGTTGCTGAGTGTGCGCGGTGAAAGTAGGCCAGGTTAATTGGCACGTTTACGGTCTTAGGCTCCCTTTAAATAGTCTCCATTTCGCCCCCAAACCGAATGCGAGTGGGATGTTGTCCTTTTTACAAACCGGGAACGTCGAATGACACAGTAGTTTGCCTAAGATCACGAAGCTATTTCCTGGCACTGTTGGAGTTTGAGCCGGCAAATGTATACCAGCTCCAGCCCACGCCCTGGAGGTCAGTCCACTGGGAGAGATGCGGACGTGGACAATTGAAAACTACCGTACAGAATTGTTGGCTGCTGTGATAAAAGCCCTGTGCAAAGTGCAGTATCGCGGAAGGAGAACCACACTGTAATCAACTCGCCTCCCGTAAATGATCCCGGGAATCCTCAGAGGTTTTCATGTCCTAATTTGTTTCCCGGACTGCGCTTACTCTTAGACCGTGATTGACAGGATTCTGCTGCAAGCCCGAGAGGCGCACGGCAGACCTTAGAGGGTGGACACCAATCCTAAGTGTGACACAGGTGCCTCCTTAAGTTCCCAAAGCACAGCCGACACCACACGGTTACTGACAGTTGTGTACAGAAATTTTTAATGGACTCTTTTGAGGCTTGATGGTTTCAGTTTAGGTAATGACGTCCAATGGACAACCAGGAAAGATGTGACAAATTTACTAATATGCAAAAGCAAGGAAGCTATATTCAAAACAAGAGCCTCAGGTTTGAAGCTGAAAAAGCAAAGGGAAGGGGACTGGGACTTCTAGGGGAAAGAGAGGCAAAATAGGCTAAGGAAGTTTGAGGAGAGATACGCAGTGATGACTGTCTTGCTTATTCACATATAATCTCCCAGGAAACAGTCCTGTGTCTGAACTCCAAGCTCTATTTATATATTTATTTAGGAGGTGCTAGGAAACCAGCCCAGGGCTTCACAAATGCTAAGCAAGTGCTCTACCACCAAGCTACACCTTCCTGTCCCCCAATTTCTTCTTCACATGAAAAGATCTTACCTAGCAAAAAAGGAGAATTGGGAAGGAGCCGACCTGTGGAAAATGTGGAGTAATGAAGGGGCAAATTAAAGGATACAGAAGGTCTGAGAAGGAAGGAAGGGGAAGAGAAACTAATTAAATGCTTGCTGGCACATTGCAAAGGTCCTTTGCCACCATGAAGACATTTAATCAGCCCACAGATCTGAAAGGTTTTATTAGCCCCATTTTATAGGCTGACAAACAGGCTTAGGTAGGGCCAGTGCTGAGCTAGCCAGGAGGCAGGCTGAGCCCTTTACAATCAACATGAACAGGTTTTGTAATACACTCACTTTGGCACAATAAGGCCACAGGTACTATCAGACAGATCAAAGAAGATCATACTACATCTGGTCCCTGGCCCCTTCCTCCAGGGTTCTTTCTTTTCACTCCTTCCTGGCAGCATGAGGTAGGCAGCTTTCCTTCACCACACCCTCTGCCATGAGGCAACTAACTTGGAGCCAACTAACCGTGGACTAACCCATCTGAAATCATAAGCCAGAATAAACCTCTCCACCCTTAAGTAGTGGGTGTCAGCAACAGAAAGCTGACCCGTTGTCTTAGTTACTTTCCTTAATGCTGGGACAAAATACCCT